GCGCGCGGCCCGTACGGGCTGCGCCAGGCCCGCGCGCGGCCCGTACGGGCTGCGCCAGGCCCGCGCGCGGCTCGGGCCGCCTGCGCGCGGTTCGGGAGGCTGTGCCAGACCCGTGGGCGGCCCGTTCTTCGCTGCCCCTGTCCTCCCCACTGTCCCCCGTGCTTCTGAAGGCGCCCCACCCCTCCTTCTGCCCGTACTCCTTGATTAGGGTTTGGGGGTGGGGGGTATGGGGGTGCAGCTTCTGTGTGCCGTTCCCTGCTCCTCCTCCTCCTCCGTCTCCCTGTGCTGCAGCTGCCGCTGAGGGGGGTGGACCTGTTGGAGCCGTCGGAGTGGTACTAAGGGGGGGGTGAAGGGGGAGTGGAGCTAGCGGTGTAGCAGCGGGTGTGTGTCAGGGGGAGTGGGATAGTTTGGGGAGGTTGAAGGGGGTGGCCGCCGTGAAGCCAGCAGCTCCAGTCGCCCGTGAGACCGTTGCGCCAGTCGCCCGTGAGCCCGTTGCGCCAGTCGCCCGTGAGCCCGTTGCTCCAGTCGCCCGTGAGTCCGTTGCTCGTCTGCCGCTACTTTCAGCCGCGGAGCCAGTTACTCCAGTAGCCCGTGTGCCAGTTGCTCCAGTTGCCAGTGTGCCAGTTGCTCCAGTTGCCCGTGTGCCAGTTGCTCCAGTTGCGCCGTGTGCCAGCAGCTTCAGCTGCCGCCCACTACCTCCTCTCCTCTCATAGTCTCTTTCCTCCTCCTCACTTGCCCGTTGTGACTACCACTGGCTTTGCTCATAATTGTGAACTTTAAACTATTGCTTCTTGAACTTGTGCTCAGAATGTGTGGTGACATTGTGATCCACCCTGAGCTTGTACTGTTTTGCTTGCTCTGCTGATTACACCCCACTTTGGCTATGGGGGTGTGTCAGAATATTATGCTCTAGCCTGTAGTGGGGTGCTCTATAGCGAGTACAACCCTTCTAGGGTTTGCTATTTGTATCCCCATTCTTACTAGTGCAACCCCTCCTTTGTTCATTTCTTGCTTGCCTAGCTAGGTCAACCCTAGCTATGGCTTCTCACTGTCCTTACTATCTTGACAGCCGCGGCTTTCGCTCTTTGGTGTTGTCGGCGTAGAAGGCGAGCCGTTCGCGTTCTCGTCGCGGCGCTGGTCGCTGCTGATCCATATCCCTCTGTTCGACGAGAAAAGCGGCGCAAAGGGCGGCCTCCGAGATGACCCCCTGCTGTCGGAGAAGCGCCTTGCAGGGCCGCCACTCTGGGCCGAGCCCTTGAAGCACGATGTTGACGAAAATTTCTTCCGAGATCGAGCTTCCCAGCTTCAGGATTTGGTCGCGAAGGCTCCGACAGCGGTTAAGGTAATTGTTGACCTTCTCCCCTGCGGTCATCTTAGTCCCCAGTAGTTCCTGGAGTAGTCGGCTCAAAGGGACGGAGTCCTTGGGCTGATACACGCCTGTCAGGTGACGCCAGGCGTTGAGGGCTGGAGCAGCCGAGGTCTTGTATGAACGAATGTTAAGTTGCTCCGCCGGCGACATGTTCCGCAGGAGCACCCCGTACGCCATCAGCGATTCGTTGTAATACCTCGCCTTGGCGTCGTCGGTGTCCTCAGCAGGCTCCGCGTAGCTCCCGTCGAAGTAATGGAAGATTTGGGCGTTCTGCAGCAGGAGCTCCAACTCGAAGCTCCAGGTATAAAAATCTCTGCCGTCAAAACATGTACTTGTCTTTATTTTTGATATGCTGAGAAACCTTGATTGAGCGGAGAGAATTGCCTCTTCACTGGGACGGGGAGTCTTGGGGGTTGAGCCATTGGTGTCGAGGGAGAATGTTTGCGGGGTGGCGTTCTGGCCAGTCGGGGCCGGTTGAGAGGGTTGCGAGGATGTTCCCGCATCGCCATTCCGCAATGTTTGGAGTCCTTGCTCCAAGCTGGTGAGTCGCTGAAGAAGTTGTGCGAGAACTTCGGAGCCGATTGTCGTCGTGTTCTCGCTTGTCGCAGCCGGGTTGGGTTGCGCTTCAGCCGTCAGATTAGTCTGACCACCAGATCCTCCGGCCATCTTCACTCGTGAACGTGTGCCGGACGCCACTTTCTGAATGTCGCAATTTTCGGGAGTGGCAGTGCGAAGGATTCCCGAGCCGCTCTCATACCATGCTGCGATCAGAAGTTGATCGTAGCCCAGGATCTACTCAGGAAGGTTCGCACGCAGTGAGATAGTTTGGTGGGCCCTTGACCTCAATAGCAGAGTGAATGTAAAATGCTTGAGATAATTAAAACATGCAAATACAGGAAATATAAATATGAGTACAGGGAAGACGAAACGACCTAGCTAGCCATGTACTCTAAGGGGTACATTCCCTTATTCAAATGCATCCCCAACCGTGCGGCGCGTACAGTTTCGTAACTGTTCCCGCCAAAACCATCCTGCCTGCAGCTGCCCGATGCCGTCTGCTCCCGACGGTCCAGATGTGCTGTAACCGTCCGACGCTTCGATTCAATTCCAACTGTCTGACGCTTCGCGTTCATTCCCGTTACAACGTGCTTCTCTTTTGCTGCAGTGAGGAGTGTACAGTAATATCAAATATTACTATTCGTAACACATACTGTATCATATATGTGTAGGCTGTAGTGGGGTAGCCAATATGGGGTACAACCCCTTTAGGGTTTCATACTTGTACCCAACTTTCATCTAGTTTATCTCATTCCTGCTTGTTATCTTGGACAAATAAGTGTTCAAGTTATGTGTGAGGAGAACATTGATCCAGGTCTTATAAAATGTATACCATTGAATTATACCCCCCCAACTTTTTGAGGGGTGATTATCATACGAGGGTTTACGGTAGGAAGGTGTTCAAGTTATGTGTGAGGAGAACTCTGATCCAGAGTGGGCAACGAACGGTTAAGTTTTGCAATCGAGCACAAAAGCCAATTAGGAGAGTGTCGCTCGGCGTTGTCCCAGACGCGCGAGAGTCCTTTCATACAAAGTAGGGTAACCCAATCCTTGGAGAGTTCAAGTTCAAGAATCTTGAACTCGGAAAAAAACATGCTGTACTTGGGCTTTAACAGCAATGGGTGTTGATTTCTAGAGTGTTCCTAGAAGCAACCAAAATGTACGGATTCCACTGAACTACAGTACAAGCTTGGCTGTACCTGCCACTCATGGTCATTGTCGTTGCTGCTGGTGTTGTTTGTGCACCTGCTGCTGTAGCTCGTGAATTTCTTGCCTTTGCATCACGGCTACTGCTGCAACTTGCTGCACGCACTGCTGTAGCACCTGCTGTTGTTGCTTCTGCTGCTGAAGCTGCTGCTGCTGCTGGAGTAGTAATTGCTGCTGCTGCTGTATCTGTAGCATCAGCTGCTGCTGACTCGCCTCATGGGTCGGCAACAGCACCTGCTGCTGTGCTTGTGGCTCATGCGCTTGTGTCAACTGGTGTATACGCTGCTCCCACTTTTGCTGCTGCTGCTGGTGCTGCTGCTGCTGCTGCACATTTGAGGACAGATATTGTAACAGCCAATTTCCCTCTTGAATCGGCATTGACGGCTGAAGCTGCACAGTTGACTGCAGTCGTTGAAGCACCAAAGCCATGGCAGCATCCGAGCCAGTGGCAGCCATCCTGGGTGAAGGATGAGAGCCATGCTGTCTGCTTGGGGGCCCCATGCGCCCCATGCCCTCCATGGCTCTCACCACTCCTGGTGTCACAATCACCTCCATGCCGCCACCAGGAGCAGCAGCAGTGCTAGCAGCAGCACCAGCAGCAGTGGCAGTGGCCGTGGCAGCAGTGGCAGCAGCAGCACGTTGAATATCACGAGTACAACTATTGCCAACAGCAGCAGCACAGGAATTAGCCGCCATGGCAGAAGCAGCAGTTCCGGCAGTGGACAGCTCTCCCCCAAGGTTGCCCAATGCGTCCTCCCTCCCAATGACAGCAGTGGCAGCAGGAGCAGTGGCAGCAGGAGCAGTGGCAGCAGGAGCAGTGGCAGCAGGAGCGGCCACTGCTGCCGCCACAAGTGCCGTCTCCACCACTGCTTCAGCCAGATTCTGGGAAAGAGGGAGCGGCACAGATGTACCTTCCCTAGGTGTGCCCTGCATGGCTGCTGCTGCCTCTGCCTGCACGAAGAACTCCAGCCCTGGATGCAACCTCCCCCACCTGCTGCCGGCGCCACATGTGCTACTGCTCACCCCACTGCCCGCGCGCCTACTCCCTCTTCCTGCCTGCTGCCCCCTGCCTGCTGTGACAGCGGGGTGAGCTCGGCTGCTCTCCCCTCCCTGTGCGCTCTCATCACTGCTGCCCTCCTCACACCTGTCACTCTCACTCCCACACTCACTCCCACTCGCACTGCTCTCACTGTCACTACTGCCATCGCCACCATTGCTTCTACCATCAACCCCTGCCTCTCCATCCCGCCTGCCATTCACTCCCTCGCGCACATCCCCCCATGTAACCCTCCTCTGCTTCCCATTGCGGTTCGATTTCCCCCTGTCTAGCTGCCTTGCCTCCTCTCCGTCCTCTCCCTCCTCTCCCTCATCACCCTCCTCTCCCTCCTCGCACTCCTCTCCCTCCTCGCACTCCTCTCCCTCCTCGCCCTCCTCAACCCCTTGCACCATCAGCATCTTCCATGCATTCTGAAAAGCTGATCCTTTTGCTGCTCGTTTCCCTGTCCGCCCATCCTTCAGAACCTTTCCACCTGCCCAACTCAATCGCTGCAACTTCCGTTTCCTCCCCTCCCTCCTTCCCGTTCCCTGACTCCCAACGTATGCAGGCAGGGGAGGGTGAGAGGGGGGAGGGTGAGAGGGGGGAGGGTGAGAGGGGGGAGGGTGAGAGGGGGGAGGGTGAGAGAGGGGAAGGTGCTGCTGAGAAGCATAGGGATGGGGGAGACGACTCGTTTGGGGTGTGCCAAGCAAACGGGAGGTGGGATGATGGGAGCTGGGATGATGGGAGGTGGGCTGATGGGAGGTGGGCTGATAAGGGTTGGGCTGGAAAGGGGTGGGTTGATAAGATTTGGGTTGATAACAAGCAGGTTGCTTAGAATTGGGCTGATTCGAGGTGCGTTGGTACGAGGTGGGTTGATAGGTGGGTTGGTAGGAGGTGGGTGGATAGGACCCTGGGTGGCATGGCTGTGCGGGACTGGGCTGAGAGCCCCCCTGTGCTGCGAGTGGTTGCATGAGGTGCTGGGTCAGCTGCAACGCCTGCACATGAGAGGGGCGCAGGGGCACAGAAGCAGGCACGGGGCAAGCAGCGGATGGTGCGGTGTGAGCATGTGAGCGTGTGGGCATTGCTGCTGCAGTCTGGGTGGTGTGCGCCTGCTGCCATGCGCCTGCTGCTGCTGCCGCCTGTGCGCCACCCCACGCACCCCTTGCTGTGCTCTGCCCATGCGGGTCTCCCCTCGCCCCCACCCTCACTGTCGCTGCTGCTCCCACTGCTGCCGGCGCTGCGCCTCCTGTGGGAGGGGTGGGGCGGGGAGCAACGGCCCGTGCCTTCCAGGCAGGCGCTGCGTTGCACTGCCTCCCTGCAGGGTCCCCTCCAGCACCCACTGGCTGCTGGGTGTGTGCCCATACTCCCATGCCACCTCCACCATCATCATCACCACCATCATCATCGTTTTCATCGTTATAACCAGCATCACCACCATCACCGCCACCAGCAGCATCAGCAGTCCAACTGCGATCTCGCCGCGTGCATCGCACCCACGTTCCCTCCTGCTCGCGCCTCCTCTTCCCGTTCCCTCCACCGCCACCACACGCACCTTGCGCCACCGCATGCACCGTGTGCTGGCCCTGCCCGTCCCTGCATGCACCTCCCGCCACCCCATGCACCTTGCAGTGGTCCTGCCCGCTCCTGCATGCACCCTGGCGCACATGGAATGCCACGCGTGCCAGCAGCATGCCGTGCCACTGTGGCCCGTCCAGTGCGTGCAGCAGTGCACGCACGTCCCGCCACGCCACCCACTGCAAAAGCACAGCGCTGGGGTCACCATGCACGCCCTTCTCCTGCCCCATCTGCTCCTTCTCCTGCCCCACCTGCTCCTTCTCCTGCCCCACCTGCCCCTTCTCCTGCCCCACCTGCCCCTTCTCCTGCCCCACCTGCTCCTTCTCATGCCCCACCTGCCCCTTCTCCTGCCCCACCTGCCCCTTCTCCTGCCCCACCTGCCCCTTCCCCTGCCCCACCTGCCCCTTCTCTTGCCCCACCTGCCCCCCAGCCTTCACCTCCACCTTCTCCCCGCCCACCTCCGCCCTCCTCCCCTCCCCACCGTGCGTGGGCTGCACAGCACCTGCGAGCCGTGCTGTGATGCGCGCCTGCCACCCGTGGCCCAGCAGCTCGCCGCGCTGCTGCCACAGCAGCGCCAGGTCCTCCTCGCCCACGTGCACGCCCCACGTGGCCTGCACGGCGCCCACCACCACCGCCTGCTCCCGCGCCTCCTCCTCATCCGCACGCCGCGCCACCACCCCCTCCGCCACCCACTCACACAGCGCCCTCCGCACCGCCGCCACCACCAGTGCTGCTGCTGGCATGCCTACCGCTGCCCCCCCATCCTTTGCACATAGCAACTCGCCACCCATTGCCTCCTCTCCCTGCTGCCCTCCCTCGTTCTCATCTCGCTCATGTCCTCTCTCGAATTGTCTACTTCTATCAATTCCCACCTCTCTCGTTTCTCCTGCAACTTCTCCTCTCACTTCCCCTCTATGTGCAATCCTTAAACCATCTGCTCCATGCGTTTCATCTGCTCCACGCGTTTCAATTGCTCCACACGTTTCATCTGCTCCATGCGTTTCATCTGCTTCACGTGTTTCATCTGTTCCACGTATTTCATGTGCTTCACGTGTTTCATCTGTTCCACGTATTTCATGTGCTTCACGTGTTTCATCTGCTCCACGTGTTTCATCTGCTCCACGATTTTCCCTCCCACTTCTCTGCACCTCTCTCAACTCCTCCACATGTTGTTCCACTCGCTGCAGAAAATGCCTTCGCCACGCCTCCTCTTGTTGCTCCCTAGCTGCAGCACTGCCTACATCACAATCAGTAGCACCACCAGCAGCAGCATCAACAGCACCATCAGCAGCAGCAGCATGATCAACAGCACCACCAGCAGCAGCAGCATGATCAACAGCACCACCAGCAGCAGCAGCATGATCAACAGCACCACCAGCAGCAGCAGCATGATCAACAGCACCACCAGTGGCATCATCCCACGTCATACCCTCTTCCTCTCCCCCACCCCCTCTCATCCCCTCCTCCGCACCGTCTTCCTCCCTACGCCCCTCACTGGGCCAGCGGATCACAAGGGGCGGTGGGCCCCCCTGGCGGGCGGCAGTGAGCTTCTGCCGGGCCAGGGAGCGCAGGGCCTCGAGGCGGCGCAGGAGGCGGCGCGACCAGCAGATCTCGAACTTGGGGTAGCCCCTGCCGCTGCGGTACAGCAGCGGGGCGATGCGCCGCGCTGCCTGGCGCACCATGGGGCGCGTGAGGATGAACGGCACCCCGTGCTTCCCCAGCAGGCTCCCACCCACCTCTGCACACACCGTCCCACGAGGATTGACATCGGCATTGGCGGTGGTGGTGGTGGTGGTGGTGGTGGTGGAAGGCCCCCCTCCTTGGTCCAGTGGGCCAAAGAGGTGCCTCATATGCTCCTCCATCACCCCGCCCGCTGAAGCAGCAGTGCCACCAGCATCACCAGCACTGTGAGCACCAGTGGGAGTTGCAGAAGTGGAAGCAGCAGCAGTGGCGGGTTCAGCAGCGGCAGGCGAGCCCCAGCGGAAGCCAGGCGGGAAGGAGAAGCGCGCGCGGTCGAGGAGGACGGTGGCGTTGAGCTGCTGCACCCACTGCAGCAGCACCGCCTCCACTCGCCCCGCCCGCTGCCCCTCCTCCCTCCTCACGCGCTCCCTCACCCGCTCCTCCACCACCGCCCTCTCTATGCCCCCTGGCACCACCATCCACCTGCGCGGCACGGGGGGAGCATGGGTGGACGGGGGTGAAAGAGCAGGGGGGACGGAGAAGGGGGCGGGGTCAGTAGAGGGAGTGCAGAAATGACGGTGCCAAGGGAAAGATGGTGCAGGGCGAGCGAGGGGAGAGAGGGTGGCGTAACCTGGAGGTGTGGTGTGGGCAACGAGGGCGAGCAGACCATGGGGAGAGAGCGCCAGTCCCAGGCTTGGGCAATGGCGTGCAGGGTGGTGGGGGGGGCGAAGGGCACACCTGGTGGTCTGGGCGAGGATGGCGCGCAGGTCAAGGGGGGAGAGCGCCAGCCCCCACGCCTGCGCAATGGCGTGCAGCAGGTGAGCGTGGGGCAGGTGGGGGCGCGCGAGGGCGGCGAGGCAGATGGCTCTGATGCGGCTCAGCGTGACGCCTGGCAGCTGCCGCTCCACCACCACGCCTGCCGCCGCATCCCCACACACCAGGTACACCCGCCCGCCCTCCCCCTCTCCCTCCTCCTGCTCTTCCTCCTCCGCCTCGTCCTCCCCTGCCGCCCTGCCTTCGCCACTGCCTTGGGCCTCCTCTCTCCTGCTCACACCTCCCCTCTCGCCTCCTCCTGCTCTGCCTTGATCTCTCCGTGCTCCTCCTCCGCCGCCACGGCTACCCAGCGTGGCGGGCAGGCGGTGGAAGTGCGGCAGCACGACGCTCTCCGTGCGCGCCTCTGCCTGCAGCGCCTGCACCTCGGGGCTGTGCATGGCGGGCAGGGGGCACACGGAGCGCCATGCATCATGCGAGGGGGGCTGCCCGGCACTGCAACGGACTTGGGGGCTGCACCGCCTTGCCTCACCCGCTCCGCCCTCCCCTCCCCCACCGCCAGCGTCCCCCACGCGCCCCAAGTCTGCCCCCCCTTGCTTCTCCCCCGCCTCTCCGTGCAGCACAGCACGGCCCACAGGCTCCCCACTGCCCGCTGGTGGCGCTGGTGGGTGGCGACGCTGCTCCTGGGCCTCTGGTGGCGCTGGCAGTGGCGGTGCTGGCGGAAGTGGCGGCGGTGGTGGCGCGGGCAGCAGCGCGGCGTCCAGCACGGCCTCCTCCACCACGTGCGTGGGCTGCATGGCGCCCTCCTCGCGTGCCAGGCGCATCAGCAGGGCGCGCGCATGGCGGTACGGGTTCTCCACCCCCGGCAGCAGCCCCATCCGCCTGTCCCTCTCCGAGCCCATGCTCGCCCCACCACCACCATTAGCAGCAGCGGCAGCGCCAGCAGTGCAGGTGTCGTACTCCCCCCAGTCCTCCGCATGCTCCTGCTCAAAGTTCTCCCCCTCTGCATCCTCATCATCACTTGCTGTTCCCGTGCGCCTCCATTTCTTCCTCAGCCTCTTCCTACCTCTCTCCCACCACTCCACTTCACTCCCACTCCCACCCCCTGCCCCTCCGCCCTCCTTCCCCATCCGCGTCCTCTTCCCCCCGTCCCCCTCCACGGCGCCCCTGCGTGTCTCAGCGAGGCGCAGCAGCAGCAGCCCATACCGCCGCACGAACCCCATGCCTCGTTGCACCGCCCCTCCTCCATGCCGCACCCCCGTGCCAGCTCCCTTGCCTTGCCCACCAGCTGTGCGCGGCTCACAGCGCGCCCCGCGCCCTCCTCCTCCACCACCACCCACAGCGCCACTGCCTCCTCCAGCGCGCTCTCCTCCGCGTCCGCCGCGCCTGGCGCGCTCCCCCCCGCGTCCGCGCGCACCCAGCGGCGGCTCTCCTGCGCGATGAGGCGGACGTGTTTGGGGATGAGCCACAGCCCGTAGCGCGCGTGCACGGCGGCCGCCACCATCTTGGGGCTCAGGAACGGCCGCACGCACGCCACCATCGCCACCTCGTACCGCACGCGCGCTGCTACCGCACTCACCGCTGCGCCCGACCCGCCGTTGGTCGTGCTGCTGCTTCCGCCGATGGAGCGCACGGCCGCGGCGCTGCCCCGCGCCCACGACGGTGCGCCAGCAGGTACCTGCGCCTCGTCGCCCTCTCCGCCCTCATCGCCCCCGCCATCTCTGCCCGCACTCAGCTCGCCCGCCGCGCCGCCTAAGCATCCTTCGCCAGCACTAGCAGAGTCCGGCGCCTCTCCGTTTTCGCGTGCGACGCGGTCGTCCTGCTTCTCCCCCTGCGTGTCGCGCGTTCCCCCCTCTTCCCCCGCGCGCGTGCCCACTTCGTGACCGAACTCGTCGAGACCCGCGTCGCGCAGCACTTCGCAGCACCACCAGCGCTCGAACTCGAACAGAGGAGGCACGCCGAACCGCTCTGCGACGCGCCGCGCGTACTTCTGCAAGAGGCTCACGATGCTCGACCTCGGGACCTCCGCCTTCCCCCGCGCTGCCCGCGACGCTTCGAGACGAAGCCGCCTCTCGCGCGTCCAGCGCGCTAACTCCGCTTCAAGCTCCGCGTTCTTATAACGAACGAACTTGTTCTTCCCTACGCTGCTTTCGGCGGTGGCCTTCCGGTTGAGCCGCGCGATGTCGCTGCTGCCGAGGCGCGTGCCGTACTGCGCATTGACGGCCGTCGCGATGTGCTCGTTCGCCAGCTCCGGATGCGCGCGTCGCACGGCGACGATTTCGCGCAGCACCAAGGGGCTCACGGCAGCCGCGCGGCTGTTGCCCCGCCGGGCATCGGGCGGAAGCTCCATCGCGCGATGTGCTGCCTACCTCGTGCAACGCTCCTGCCCCTGGCTATCCGTTGCTAAGGTCGGCAGTTTATTTTGTCGTCAGACACACGACACCTTGTCGTGGGGTGATTGCACGGCTCGGCTCAACATACAGTCGATGCCCAACCCGTGCACGCGAAATTGCCTTGCACGTTCCAGAAACCTTGCACCCGTGGGTTTCTTGCCGCGAAGTTGCACCTACGTTACAAGCACGTCGACCAATAAGAGCCACAGAAACGGAAGTCTGACTGATGAGACTGCAGTCAAACAGTCAACGGTGAGTTACAAAATTTTTATATAAGCCCTTTTTGCCCGACGCGAATTGACGAAACCACCGCGAAATGCAGAATCACTTATACGCACACAGGGTAGGCCAAAGTTGGGGGGCTCAACCGGGCATCGTGTGTACAGCATTTGCACGACGTGCTAGGGTGGCTGCCTGAACAAACGGGTAATTGCAAGTTAGGGTTTATGGAAGAGAATGGAAGGTTCAGCAGTGGTGTTTTCGACGCTTGGGCCCAGTTCGGCAGGCATTATGGCCATTGTGGCCATTATGGGCATTTTTAATGGGCCCCCAAAAAATGGCCCCTGGGCCATTCTAGAAACAGCCCCGAAATCGGACAGTAGTTGCAGTGCACCTAGAAAAAAAAAACGGGTTGACTGTTCGGGTGGCATTAAAGCTCAAGGCCCAAATTGTTCAACCTTACTAAGGTTGACCACTGGGCACTTGAGAAGGTGCTCACAAAGTAGAGGGGGGTGTTGTGAGCGAGGGGTGTTACACTTTCGCCCAACCCCTCGCCACACTTTAGAAGGGGGGAATTCGTGTTTGGTTTCCGAAGTCCCAAATTGCAGGGGTGTAGGTTCCCAAGTTTCAGAACTCCAAGCCAGCAAGATTACTAAACTTGCCCAGCGCGGTCTGCAATTTAGGACTTGAGCTTTAAATGGGTGTAGATTGATGGCATCAAGATGGTAGGCAGCTTCCGTGATGTATCGCGTGATCATGTGATTGGCTGGCTTAATTGACCGGTCACTGTTTAATGCCCCCATTCACTGATACCCCGCATGGTGCAGGCTCTCGAGGCCGCATGGTGCGGCGGATTGAAAAATGGGCACTTTGCCCGAGAAACTGGGTTCGTGGAAGATTCCAGCTGGTGAAAACGTCTGCACGAAAAGGGCTGTTCGGGAGGCATTCCATTATTGTCAGGTTCGGCGTAGATCCGCTTATATCGAGCCTTGATAACCATTCACCCGCTTATCAAGGAAGGTTCAAGGGTGGTCGTTTCACTGTAGCCCATCCGCCGAGGCCATTTTCTTAATGCCTGCCGAACTGGGCCTTGAATGCCCTTGCACAGTTCGCACGGCGGGCCAAAGGAAGTGTGCACGGGTGCCGCCGAGCTGGCTGGGCTGGGTGAGTGTGGTGAGAGAAAAAGACCGGGGAGTGGAAAGAGAAAGAGCAGCGGCAACACAGCGGCGAGCTATCTGAAGTCGCAACCATAGTACAGTCGGTGCTCATTTCAAGAACACCAGTTAGGCAGGCAGCATGTGCGTGAAACTAGTTTTAGTCTTTTCTCTAACTTCGCCCTCTTCGCCAAGGGCATGGAAAATGAAACTGGAATGGAACTGGAATTTTTTATCCAGGTCAACATTTCTTATGGCGAGCAACCCTTGTTGTTTATGAAATGTACCCTGAACTTAGCGCATTTGGTTGACGGTACCGTGAACTTAGCACTATGCTCAATTCAGTCACTCACGGACAAAAACGTTCGCAGGTGAATGTTTTACTGATTGGGATAGCCTTAGGACACGCGATAAGGTGAGCATCGACTGTAACGCATGGGCAGGGGGAGGGGGGGAGTGGCGGGAAAACGGGTAGGGAGAAAATATCTTTCATGACATTTCAGTAACTGATACAATCTGAACCGTCTTATAGGATCGTCTCAGGTTGATCGCACGGAGTGTAGCAGCGGAAGGTTTGAACACTGTCGGGTACGGACTCTGTCAGTAGAAGGAGATTTGAATCTCGACAGAAGTGACTAACATAATGCGGTACAAGGGTTTATATAGGAATACAATGGAATACGAAAGGTCCTAGCTAGCCATGTACTCTGAGGGGGTACATTCCCCTTAGGGCTAATCTAGATGCAACCGTGCGGCTCGGTAACCGTATGCGGCTCGGTAACTGTTTGAACTTTCCAGCTCTTTTCATTTCGAATTCTTCCTGCTTGCAACCGTCTTCGATAACTGTCTTGACGCTTGGTCTTTCGTCCTCGCTGCAGTCATCTTCGCGTGCAAGAGTTCGTTACTATAGGAATGTACAAACATTCCATATCGTAACACTCCCCTTCATTCCTGGAGTGGCGAAGTCTTGACGCGCTTGGTTATACCGCAGATGGCTCCGCAGTGCTGGTACTGCTGACGTGGCAGTTTCTTGGTGAGGAAGTCAGCTGCCATGTCACCGGTGGGGCAGTAAGTCAAAATGACTTTGCCCTTGTCAACTTCGTCTTTGACGAAGAAGTAGCGGAGCGCGATGTGCTTGGTGCGGTTGACGAAGCCGGGCTTGTTCGCGATCTTGATCGCGCTCTGGTTGTCGCAGTGCAGTTTGAAGCTGGCGGACGTCGCAATTTTCGCCTCCTGAAGCAGTTCCTGGAGGTAGAGTCTTTCGCGAACAGCTGACGTGGCGGCGATGAATTCTGCTTCGGCAGAGGAGAGTGCCACCATTTCCTGCTTCTGAGAATTCCAGGAAATTGGTCCTGTTGGCTCGAGGCGGAAGAGGAAGCCAGTTCGGGATCGTCGATTTTCAGGGTCAGCGGCGTGATCTGCGTCCACGTAGCCAACGAGGTTGAATGAGCGAGTCGCGAGGGTGGAGTAGGTGAGTCCGATGTGCGGCGTGGAGATGAAATATTGTAGGGCGCGCTGTAAATCCAGCATGTGCTCCCCTTCAGGCCGCTTGGCATACTGAGCGAGCTGGCTGGCGATGTAGGACAAGTCAGGCCTGCACGTCACGGCGGCGAAGAGAAGACATCCGAGTTGCTGCTGGTAGAGGCGATGTTCAGCGGGGTTGAGAGGTTTGGTGATGACGGTCGAAGTGGTTGCTGGGGTGCGATAGGGAGTTGAGAGGTTGGCTGGTTTAATGTTGAACTTGGTTGAGAGAGTGTCGGCGTATTTGGCGGCGGAGAGATGGATGGCGTCAGCTGCGTAGGTGATGTAGGTTGGCTGGTTTAATGTTGAACTTGGTTGAGAGAGTGTCGGCGTATTTGGCGGCGGAGAGATGGATGGCGTCAGCTGCGTAGGTGATGTTGAGTCCCAGGAATTGGGTGACTGAGCTGTTGCTGGTGATCTCCACGCGGTTGCTGAGGTTCTTCTCGAACTGCTCGAGGAGGCCTGGGTTGGTGCCAGTGTAGAGCAAGTCGTCCACGTAGGCCGTGAGGAGGATGTGGTCACCGCGGTAGTGGAGGCGATACATACCTGGGTCATGGGGCAGCTGAGTGAAGCCGATGTCCAGGAGGATTTGGTGAAGATGCTGCTGCCAGAGGCGAGGTGCCTGCTTGATGCCGTAAAGAAACTTACGGAGCTGGCACACGCGGTCATCCTCGCCGTAGGTGTGCGGTTGCTCGACGAAGATGAGCGCGTCGACAGGAGCGTAGAGGAAGGCGTTTTTGACGTCGATTTGGCGGAGGGGGAGGCTTTTGGCTGCTGCGATGGCGAGGAGGATGCGGACGGAGGTGTGGCGGCTGACAGGTGCAAAGGTTTGGTCGAAGTCCATACCGTGACGTTGGTCGAAGCCGCGGACGACCCAGCGAGCTTTGAAGCGTTCGATGGTGCCATCTGCTGCGGTTTTGACGCGGAAGACCCATTTGCCCGAGAGTACTCGCCTCCCCTTCAGTGCTGCACGATCGGCAAGGACCCAAGTGTCCGAGCTTCCAGGGCGGCTACTTCGGCGTCCATCGCGGCGCGCCACTCCTTGGCATAAGGGCCGGTGAGAGCCTGACGCGGGGTTTTGGGTTCAGCCGCCTTGGAAGGGTGGGAGACGGCTGCGTGCAGGCCCAGGATGTGGAGGCCAGAGATGCCAGGGCTGTGACGTTGGTCGCTGGTGACTTCCACCACGTCATCGTCAGAGCCGTGGCCGTCGGTGGGAGTGGGGCTGAGCAGGGAGTCCCGCGAGGAGTCGAGCGGAGCGCCGTCCTCGTCCTCATCCTCATCACTCCAGGGGCGTGGGCCGGGGTGTGGGTCCGTGGGGTCTTGGTCCGCAAGCGCCGCTTCCGCCTCGTCAGCGGGGGTGAAGAAGCTGCGCGGAGGCCGATCGTAATCCGCGACGTTGGTTTCTTCCCTGGTGCGGTCGGCGTAACGGTCGCACTGGAACTTGTGAATGGTGAGATCCTCGTAGAAGATGACGTCACGAGCTGCCACCACTTGGGAGGTGTCGTGGTCGAGGATGTTCCAGGCGTTGTGGTCGAGGCTGATGCCGAGGTGCACGCCCCACCATGCGCGACGCTCAAACTTCCCTGTGGTCGCTGCTGGGGGCCGATACTGAACCATGCAGCCCCAGACGCGGAGCATGGAGACGTCGCCCTGCTTGCCGGTGAATTTGAGGTGAGGAGAGAGATTGTCGGTGTTGGCGGTAGTGCTGAGCAGGTTGTGGAGGCGGACGGCGTGGTGCATGGCGTAGGGCCAATATTTAGCATCGACGTCGCTCTGCTGCAGAAGTGCGCGGACCTTCGTCATGAGTGTCGCCTTGCTGGGGGTGCGCATAAGGGAGGGAGAGCTTGTGCGCGACGCCTTTGTCCGCCATGTAGGTTTTGAAGTGTCAGAATCCCAGTCACTAACCACTGGGATAAAAGGGCTTGTTTGTGTAGCGGGTGAGTGCGCCCATAACCCCCCAGGCCGACATGCCTGTAACCCTTCCCTAGGATCGATCGGGGATCACCAGTGGACCTCTGACACCCCCCCGCACTGGGATGCCCGAAGTGCACACACCGGGAATC